AGTCGTGGCCATTTTATAATGGGGTCCCTTTTATCTTTGTAAATAATGTAATGCTAGCTTAAGAGCAAAAACGAGAGGGTTACAACATGAGTAGTTCTTTGCTTAGTCACTGATTTGTGAAAAGCCAGATCAGTATGTTTCTGATTCCTTGATACAAAGGGGAAATGAAAATAGAAAAATTTTGTGGACTTACCTGAAAGATGCTGAGTAAGGCTTGAGGCTACTTTTGATCAGAGGAAAATGTAAGCATGTCAGTCTAGTTGTGAAGTTGAATTGTTTTATTAATAGTGGCAAGTGACAGGGTGATACTTTCGTGTAACCCTTTACGTCCTCAGTTTTAGATGGTTTATCTTAACTCCAGTCCAAACCTCACCAAAACCTGCCATCTACTATTGACTCCAAGGAGCATTTGCTATCCGGTATATTTAAAGCAGTGCTTCTCACACTGGTCTTCCAAAGGCTTTCAAAGAAAAGAAGAGGAGGAACTTGTACATTTGGGGATTTAGGGATGAAGAAGTCTCAAGTATTGATGCAGTTTTAGTTTCCTTACATTTCCCAATATACGTGTGTGTGTTCCCTTTGGAAGTGCGTTATAGTGTCACCAGATCTGTCGCGAGGAAAGCAGATCGGTCTTTTGGTTTCATACTCCCAACATCTAAAAGACTGTCAGAGGACAGGAATTTCCCTCTAGTTTCTTCAGCAAGATGTTGGCTAGTGTAATGTTCTTGTGGCCAAGAAGGTAGTCAACTAAATACCCTTGTTTTGCCGCGTTTAAATCGAAAGAGGTCCTTCCATTGTATGAACACTCTCAACAGACACCCTGAGGTATTAGCTTACGTATTAGGAGAGGCAGGCTAAAGATGAAGGGGATTCCCAGTTTATGAGTGTTCTCGAACTAACACTACTATTTTGAGAGAGCACGAGCAGGGAAGGGGCAGAGGGAATTCCAAGCAGGCTCCACACTGTCAGCGGAGAGGCCAACGTGGGGCTCACGCTCATGAACCATGAGATCGTGACCTGAGCCGTAATCAAGCCAGTCCCTTAACCGACTGAGACACCCCAGCGCCTGCACTGCACTTAAAAACGTGCACGTTTGAAGGGAGCAAATGTCCAAACCATGTGAGTAAATAAAAGCATTGTCTATAGTACTTGAACTCTGAGAGTACCAATAGTCATTCATTTGTTTCAACAAGCCTGAGGAAAAAACCTCTATGTTTTATATTGCCTTACTAATAACAAAATACACACATTTGTAACTTTGTTCTAAGTCCACAGAGTAGTGATGGTTGGCATAGGAGAAACTTTGCCAAGGCCCCTTCCACTAACTTTTGATACTTGATTGTAAAGCAGGTTAATATTATAGGTCAGGACGCTACAAAAAAGAAACAACGAAACAGAATAAGTGATACTCTTTTTTAGTTTATCGTGAAATGGTCAAATATTTGAAAAAACGAAAACCTTTGAAAGGAAAATGTATCTCCTTCGTGACTTTGTCATTCTCAAAGCTATACATGTCATTTCAGTGTGAACAAAGGTTTTTTTGTTTTGGTTTTTTATTTTATTATTTTTATTTTTATTTTTTATTTTTTTTTATTTTTTTTTATTTTTTGCATAAAGGCCTGAGCTTATTAGTATGGTATAATGTCACTAAGACCTTGTTCCAAGCTTGGAATCTTCTTCCTGCTTTTGCTTACAGCTTTTTATCCTTCCCTTCCTGGTGATCTCTAAATAACTACCGTAATAAGTAGCTCTCTGACATTCCATTTTCCTGAAGTTACATTACAGAAATCAGTCATGAGGGCTGGGTGAATAGGCACAGAAACTAAGCCTCCAGAGTCATGAACAGTATCAGAACTAGTGGTGTTTATCCCAAATTAAATGTCTGATTTCTAGTTTTCTTCAGAACACATGCACGTTAAAACAAAATTGGTAATGATCCTGGCTTATAGTATGTTTTCAAGTTTAAAATTTTTTTTTTAACGTTTATTTATTTTTTTTGGGACAGAGAGAGACAGAGCATGAACGGGGGAGGGGCAGAGAGAGAGGGAGACACAGAATCAGAAACAGGCTCCAGGCTCCGAGCCATCAGCCCAGAGCCCGAAGCGGGGCTCGAACCCACGGACCGCGAGATCGTGACCTGGCTGAAGTCGGACGCTTAACTGACTGCGCCACCCAGGCGCCCCTTAAATTGTTTTAAAATCAAACAATTTCTCTGCTTATGAAAAGATACACAGGGAAGAAATGTCTGTAGGTTGAGCTAAATCAGGAACAAGAACTATTTTCACATATATGTGCCACATTTTGCCGGGGGCTAGTAAGGAGTGGTATCCACGGTATTGGCAGCCTCTTGATATTCACACTGATTTAGCATGAGCAGTGGATGTTAGGAGTACTGCTCATACATAAGGAATTCTGAACAATGGCATTAATTTTTTTTTTTAAGTTTATTTATTTTGAGAGAGAGAGCAGGATAGAGAGAATCTCAAGCAGGCTCTGTACTGTCAGCACAGAGCCCAATGCAGGGCACGGCTTGAACCCACAAACTGTGAGATCATGACCTGAGCCAAACTGGAGAGTCGAACACTTAACCACCTGAGCCACCCACGCACCCCTCTACAATTTTAAGAGGACAGTCATTCATTAAAGGGAAATGATCCACTTATTTGTATTTGATTCGATCAATACATTCAGAAAAATCACGTATCTCTGTTGGCGTTTTACGTACATTACCTCTTCATCTTCACCACGTCCTGTGTTTGAAATTGTTTCCAGCTTACAGGAAGGAATGGCATTCTCCAGCCCTTCTTCCTGCCTTATGTGGTATTTTCCACCCAGGGCTCCAGCTATTCCACACCTGGGAATTGACCTGACTGAACACACTCTGGTGATTGGTTTCTCCTTGGGTTGTGGGAGAAAACGATCCTGGACACCCGTGCATTTGCTCAGGATAAAGAGACGGATACCCAGAAGGGGCTTAGAACTCTTAGAACAGTGCCTTGTAAATTCAAGGGGATTCTTGCCTCGTGTGGCTAATAGAACTCCGGGCCGAGTAGTCTGGATGGCAAGAGCGTGGCCCTGAGGGTCTCCTGGCCCCAGGGTGCCATGGGCCTGGCAGACAGTTCCCTGCGGTACCGGGGATAGCCCTGATATGCCCTTGGTCACAGCCATAGGAGCCCCTCAGTTGATTCCCCACCTTGTTTCTCAGTACCCCCCAAATGCAGCACCAAGATGGCACAAGAACTGGACCCCAAAGAGCCCCAGATGTGAGCCCTCCAGTTAGGCAGCTGGGCCTTCTTGGCCAGCTGGGGGTACCCACAGAGAGAGAGGCCGGGCTTCTGTGGTCTCTCTGGGTCCTGAAGCTCTTGATCTTGGAGGGAGGGAGAGTGAAAACCAATGTGATTCTGGGTCCAAATAGTTTCATACCATGGTGCTTGAAGTACGGGTAAATTTCACAATAATACAAAGGATAGATAGAACAAAGCTAAAAATGAGGGTAAGTCTCCCTGAGGAGCCAAAGTCCCGCATACTTGTCCAAATGTAGCCAGACCTGATTTAAAGTCTTCCCTTCGCCCTTCAAAAGTGCCACCCCCTCATCTCTCTGTCAGGACATCTGTCTGCCCAGGTCTCCCACCCCTCCAAGCCCCTCCCTTGCCTCACCCAGACCCTCAGCAGCACCCCCAGGCCTCAGCCTGGCCTCATCCAGAAGGTGACCTCGGGCCCTGCAGGAGCCCTGGGTCAGGTGCTGCCACAGTTCCATCCGGTGATTTATAAGGTTTCGAGAAAAATAGGAGTTTGGGAAGTCTTGTTAATGACACATCCCAAACCAATACAACAAGAAATGAAACACAGCCCCGCTCTGTGCTTGGTTTAGAGAAGACTAGAGGATCCAAAACCCAACTGAGCCCATGTTAACATAAGCTTAAGTCCCTTAAATGGTGGGATTTCCCCCTGAAAGTTTTGTTGGTGACCTAGGACCCTAATCGGGACTGCATTCTATTAAACATTTAGCCTTTATCTAGACTTGGACATGGGGGCGCCTGGGTGGCTCAGTCAGTTGAGCATCCGACTTGGGCTCAGGTCATGATCTCGCAGTTTGTGGGTTCAAGCCCCGCATCAGGCTCTGTGCTGACAGCTGGGAGGCTGGAGCCTGCTTTGGATTCTGTATCTCCCTCTCTCTGCCCCTCCCCCACTCACGCTCTGTCTCTCTCAAAAATAAACAAGCATTAGACTTGGACATCAAAGACCAGTCTGGATGTCCTGATTTAATCTGAATGGAAACAGGCAAAACCTGGAGTGATTTTTCTCCACAGAAAACAAGCTAAGCCCAGGCTAATGCAAATAAGGTCCCAGAGGAGTTTAATCAGGTTAATTGAAAAATTACCTAAAGAGATGCCAAATTCGAAACGTGCCTATCTATTCACAGAGGAGTCTCCTAGTCAATATTTTGTTGGCCAAACTATTTGCTTAAAAGGAAGGATACTACAAATCTTTGAATTTGGGCCCTTCCTTTGTTGAGACCTGCCCTCCTCTTAATTTTAAAGTATTATGTTTAACCCCAAATCAATAGAATTTATAACCCTTATCTCAGCAAAAGAATTTTTCTTAGGAAAAAAATGCTCTGTTTTAACTTAGATCAGTGTTTTCAGACTGCCTCGAGATCTCAAAATGTAAACACCTCTGGGCTGACTGGGCGAGGCTCTGTCCCTCACCTGCGCTGGTAGAGGCTTCCCTCCCGAGACACTCTTGCCTGTTTTACGTGTACTGAGCTTAGTCCTCATCCTGCTCTTTAAAAGAGGGGGTTTGCAGAGCCATTGACTTAGGTGGGCGGGGGCCAGAGCCGGAGGGCCCTCATGCAGCATCGGGTCCAACACCGCCACGGTCCAGACACAGTGGGAAACCAGAGTGGCTTCCTGGGGGCAGAATCCAGATGGTTTCTTCACTCAGGGAAGGGGTGGGCAGGACCTAAAAACTGCCTCTAAAGTATAAAGAAGCGTCCAATCTCTGTAGGCAAAATACAGCTTTTAATGACCGCTGTACTACAGCCATTTCTGGATTTCCAGTGTTCTGCAAAAACCACGAAACAGAAAAGGAAATAAACACCTAAACTAGAGACATTACAAAGACCAAAGCAGATGTTTACGAACACAGTCATATGTTCTGTCTACCCATCATGTGGGGGGACAGGAAGTCCAGAGTTCCAAGTACAACCTATCTTAAGCAAATGCAAACTACGTAATTACAGAGCAGCTAAGTGGTTACTCATATTACAAAATGGTTTTTCGGAGCATTTCTCTACATAGCGTGGTCACTTGGCACTGAAAATATAACTCATTTACAAATGTTTAATTTATATACAACTTTGGGAAACACGCATTGGGGTAAAATGAGGGAAGAAGGAGGACAGGGGAAGGGAGAAAGTAACATCCCTATTCCGTGTCTGTCTGGAGTTGTACAGTTCCCAAATATTAGACGAAGGTAAGGCTGGAGGAAGCTTGAAGGGTGGCAATAATAATCACAGCAACATTTAAAAAAAAATTATTCTTAACCTGCTTCCCAAGATGGACTTTATAGACCTCACGTGGCTAAAACTTTTCCAGACGTGGAGACTAGCATGAGGCTATAAGTACATGAAACCCTGGCACACGCAGCATGTCGTGGGTATGGTATATCCATGGATATAAGGTTAGGACACCTTGGACACAAGGATATTCATTTGGACATAGGCTGGAGTTATCTAAGAAAGCAATGTTCCAGATCTTTGTTGCAAGAGAAAATGAAGCAACAAATCGATATCTGCCTGGTTCAAGAGATCAGGAAATAATTTGGTCTAAACGAGCCCTGACACTAAGCTTAAGGCATTGGGGTGGGGAGGAGAGAGCCCCTGCCAGTTGGCTCAGGGCTGACACGGGCATCACTGAGGGATGGTCCTTCAGAGTCCCCGCCATCCGCACGGCTTCCAGTGGGGAGTAGAGAGACGAGGCAGGCAGAGGCAAGAATGGCATTACCCGTTTGCATTGTGTAAGTGGCTAGGCAGCAGAAGCAGGTGACACATGCATATGGGAGCTTTGAGAATAAGTCAGAACCCATACAGTGAGGTTCAATTTCCCCTGGTTCTACTACCAAAAAAAGGACAGGGGAAGGGAGGGTGGGACGGGGCGGGAGAGAGAGACAGGGAGAGGATGAATGAACTTCAAACAGTGGTCATTCCCAGGGAACTCCATTGTGGCAACTCAGAGGAGTCTGTGAGTGGAGACAGGAATAACAACTCTGCTCACTGTGAGGGAGGGCAAGAGAGTTTCCGGGAACACGTTGGTCTCCAACGTTTTGGGCCTGTTTTCCTGCTTGGCCTCCGTGAGAACGAGCTTTTGGGTGTTCACGGCAGGTCTTGGCTCCCTGGCTTTGAATTTGGCTTTGTAGTTTCTGCAAAAGCTGCACGGCGGCCAGACAGCGCACGTTGCCGGGATTGGGAGGGCACACCAGGTGTTTCTCAGGCAGGAAGGACCAGTGCAGGCAGCCCCTCTCGTGATCCGCCAGCAGGGGTGCGGGGGCCGCCCGGGGAGGGAAAGGCAATGTGTCATTGACCTTAGGGTGCTTGGCCAGCTCAAGAGGTCTCTTTTCACCTTTCCCGTCAACCCTTTTCAGTCCACACGCACAAGCCACACACTCATCCTTTTCCACACTCAGCACCTTCTCTTCTGGCTGCAAGAAAAAGTTCTTACTCTTCTTACCCAGAACATCCAAGCCGTATGGGGGTGAAGCCTTCAGGGGAGGTAGGACTAAAAGGGCCCTGGAAGTCAAGGAGTCTGAGATGGAGGGACCTTGGCCCGGGCCCTTGCCCCTAATAGCCTCAGGGGTGGCCCAGTCTTCCTTGCACCAAATAAACTCCTTTATTTGCAGACTTTTTTTCTCTCCCTGACTGGAAGTGGGAAAGCAGATCTTGCTAAGCTCCCTGGAGGCAGTGGTGGGGCCTCGGCGGGTCCCCTGAGTCTGGGAGGGGCTGCCTTGAGCCTTCTCCAGACCCACAGACCCCAACTTCCCCACCTCCGACTGAGGCCCGGCCTCAGAACTCCCTTGGGAGAGACTGACACAGAGTAAGCAGCTGCTGGCACTTTCTCTCACCCTCGTCTTTTTAAGCTTCTTCCTGGACCAGATGCAGGCCGTTGGAGATGTCCTTCCCCAGCCTTGCACCTGCAAATACAGCAGCATGTTACTCCCGGCCGAGCTGCTCAAATCTAGCTGCCCCAGCTCTGGACACATCCCTATTTGGGCCATCCTATTTGACCTGATACTTTTCTTAAAACTGACTCACCATTTTTAAAAAATTTTCACTCTATTTTAGCCTCATACTAAGTGATAGTATTGGTAATAGCATTTGTAGGAGTATTTGTTAATCTGAAACACTAGCAATAGGGTTTAATACTAAAATACTAGGCAAAAATACCGTACATGGGCATCTTGATGTGCTGGCTATATACTTTTTCAGATGCACATTAAAATAAAGCCAGAGCTCTTAAAATCAGAACTGTTTGTATTTATGGGGCACCTGGGTGGCTCAGTCAGTTAAGCATCCAATTCTTGGTTTTGGCTCAGGTCACAATCCCAGAGTAATCTGGAACTTTGATCTTTCTACGGATGTTTACAGATGTTCTGTCTCATCTACTAAACAGGTGTGCCTGATGAGTCAGCAAATGTCCTCCACCTCCTTGACCCTAAGTCACCAGAGCTGCTGCGTAAACTCCAGATCCCTGAGCTTCACCCCAACACACTAAGCCCATACTCAGAAGATGGACTTGGGCAGGGGGTTTTTAAAAAGCACCCCATGTGAGCCTTGGGTTGAGGCTGGTACAAAGCATTTGGATCTCCAGGGTGTTCAGGTGGCCTGACAGGGGATCCAAGTCCAGAGATGGGGGTCAATGACACCTGGCTCTTTTGATCCTCACAGGTAGGCTGTCACAAGTAGGCTAAATGTTGGCACAAAGGTCCAGATTTCTGCCAGGATCAAGGGCCAAGCTGCAATTGCAAGGTGACTGTGCCTCCCTCCGGAGTCCCCACAGAGCTCCCAAGTGGTGTGGGTGCCCCCAGGGCTCCAATAGGGAGAGACCAACATAGTGACAGGAAAGGCCCCTTGTGCTGGGCCGGTTTGGGCCAGAAGTGAACAGTCCCGAGGCACCCCATGCTGTGAGATCCCTTGGTTCTACACACAGGAACTGCTCATAAATCGCTGCCAGCAGAGTGCTCTCCGTCCTCATTCATGTGCTGGCAGCCAGGCCCCCGGCACCAGCACAGGAAGTACCAAAGGGCCACAAGCCAGTGCAGGACAGGTCTCTGTCACACCTGCTGAGATAAGGCCGCCCAAGGAGCCGGGCAGGGCTGGGTGGCCGGAGAGAGTGAAGGGCAGCAGGTGGTCAAGCGGAAGGAGATGGTGTGGCACGATCATCTTCGACAGACCGTGAGCGGCAAAACATACTCTGAGCACGGGGCACGTGCGGCATTTCTTTCAAGAAAATTCTTGAGTTCTGAATAGCCTTTGGATATGTACACATTGCAAAGTCGTTACTTTCCACTGGTGAACAGAACCTTCTAAACTTGGAAAGTCAGATCCTCAGGTAGAACTGTCTGTAACACTGACTGATCTGGCGGGACCAAGGCAGGGGTGGGTGGTGCCGCAGAGAGAGCACAAGACAAGGGTCCTGCAGACACAGCTCCATCAACCGCCAAGTGGGCTGGGGGGGTTGCTCTGCCGTGTCTTGGCCTCCATTTCCATAGTCATAATTAGATCAGGGTCTCTCAACCTCAGCACTTCTGACGTTTAGGGCGTGTTATGGATTGCATGATTGTGTTTCCCCAAATTCCTATGTTGAAGCCCGAGTCCCCAAAGTGATGGAATTTGGAGGTGGGGCCTTTGGGAAGTAACTAGGGTTGATGAAGTCAAGACGGTGGGGCCCTCATCATGGGATTCGTGCCCTTATAAGACGAAGAGGCGATAAGGGGTCCCTCTCCGCTCGCACCACCAAGGAGGGCCATGTGAGCACAAAACCGGGAAGAGGCTCCCTGCCCAGAACCCAGCCATGCTGGCACCCGGATCCTGGATGCCCACCGTCCATAACTGTGACAAAGAAATGTCTGTTGCGTGAGCTCCCCAGTGTGTGGTATTCTGTGACGGCACTCCTGAACGAACACAGAGCCGGGCCATTCCCTGTGGCAGGGGCTGTCCTGGGCACTACAGGATATGGAGCAGCACGACTGGCCTCAGCCCAGTAGATGCCAGTAGCACCCCCTTCCCCTCATCCCTAGTTGTGGGACATTGCCAAGCATCACCTAGGAATCACTGAACTTGATGCTAATAAAGTTCCGTTTACCTATGGAAGGTCAGATATCTTTGGACATCCTAATGTTTTCCAGTGTGACATCCTTACAGTTCTAAATTTAGGATTCTAGTATTGATTCTAAGAATAGTTTAAGAATAAACCCACGGAGTTATGAGTGGAACCACTAGGACAGAAATCTCATGTCTCTTGGGGAGCTTAGCCCAGCAGTTAAGGAGCTTGGGGTCTGGAGCCCAGAAGAGCTGGATTCGAGCCCTGCCTTGGCCACCAGCACACTCTTTCACATTTTGGGTGCCTCACTGTCCTTGTACCAAAAGTAAGGCCTCAATAATACGTGCCTCATAGGGCTGTTGAGAGGCTGAATGAACTGATGTGTGTAAAGCACTGAGTCCTGTGCTGGCCAGTACTAACTGGCCACAAACACCCAATAAAAGGTGCCGCTATTATCATTATTTATATTGTACCTCTACTCCTAAACTTCCTGTCTTGATCATTTATCGATTTTTTGGGTAATAACTATTTTTGAAAAAAGCGAAAGGCCTGCACCAAAACACAGGCGTGTGAGACACCTCAGTGAAGAAGATACTCACGGCTTCTTCCCATCCAGTTCCGATGACGAAGTCACGGGCTTTTTCGTCTTGTTCAAGCGTAATGTCGCTGATGTGGAGAAGACAACAAACGTGATTCTTCTCGCTTCTTTCATCTGGGCAAGTATAGGTTAATTCCGTTTTTTCTGGGCTTTGAGTCTCATCGTTTTCACTATTTTCTAACTCAGCCGCATTTTCCTGACAGAGATCCATCACTGTGATAGTTGCTGAAGGTTTTTAACATCTTCTTCCTGCAGCATGAAATGAGGGCTGAACTTAGTTTTTAATACTGGTTTCTTAAAGATCAACTCGACAATTCGGGCGAAATAACGTCAAGACACATTCACGAAGAGACCGAGAAGAAATATTACAAAAGCATCCATTGCCAGCTATCGATATTATAAAAGATATGGCCAATTTGAAAGACTAATGGGTTTAATTAAAGATCAAAGTTGGGATCGAGGAAAAGCAGACAGGGAGATGTCAGCTCAGTCTCTATCCCGGATCATGGCATAGAGCACAGCAAGGAATATAGGGTCAAGCACCCCTACCCTCCACTTCAAAACAGTCCAGATGCTACTGTGCTAACACCATGGGAAATGTGTTGAGCACGCGTGCAGCCCAGCCTCTTCTTTCCCTTTCCGGCAACTCTGGACACCAGGCAGAGGCTAGGCAGCATGTGGTCTAGACTAAATCAGTCTGCTCACTAATCTACCCTAATCTACCCTGGATGATTGGTGTTCTTACGAAAAGGGTGATCTGGACACAGACATGCAGAGAGGGAGGCCGTGTGAGGAGGCCCAGGTTGAAGACTGCAAGCCACGGAGGGGGCCCCGGAGCAGATCCTTCCCTCACGGCCCTCGGAAGGAACCAACTCCGTCGATACCTTGATTTTGGACTTCCAGCTTCCGGGACTGTGAGGCAGTGCATTTCTGTCATTCAAGCCACTCGGTCTGTGGTGATGCCATGTCATGGCAGCCCCCGTGCACACTAGTACCCCGCGTGGTGGTAACGGCAGTGGTGGCAGTGATGCTGAGGGTGATGCTGTCTATCCTTAACTGATGTTCTCTCAGGTTGAAAAACGGAACTTGGCATTGATAATCCAGTCAAAGAGATAGGAAAGTCATCATCCTGATCAGGAGCACAGATCTGGTTGCCAAACAGCCAGGGTTCCAATCTTATTGCCAGCTGCACGACCTTGGGCCAATTACCTTTCTGGGTCTGTTTGCTCATCTAGAAGACGGGTGTGCTTATACTACCTTCCTACAGACAGATGCTCCTCCTGGGGACCCCGCAAGTGGCAGAGATGAATCTCAGAGCCTGGGGACCTCCAATGGTCCAGCTGAATGCTGAGGGACAGCCAGCGCCTTCTTGAGCTTTCCTTGCTTATAATGACACAGAGGCCACGGGGATGACACACGTTGCTTTCTCTCACCCTGACGCGATCCCCACCAGAAGCCCACTTGTAACATTTTCTGTTGAGGTAACTTCGTATAACGATATCTGTTTAATTACCATTTTGGCTTTTTCATATAGGCTTAAAGGGGCATTTTGATGCTAATAAAATTCCGCTTACCTATGGAAGGTCAGATATCTTTGGACATCGTAATCTTTTCCAGTGAGACATCAGAGGAAATGAGTGAAATCTGAAGGGGGAGAAAAAAAGGGAAAAAGAAGTGACTGAAAACCAGGAGTGCTATTCTCTTTAGAAACAGAAGCATGATTAAGGGCCAGACTGTGCAAACCGGCCCGGTCCTTTCATCTCGTAAAATTCCACTTCAGGCACGGCTCAGGCCAAGGAAGCTCCGGACCCAGTCCTGTTCTCTTCTGAATTACAAATACATTTATGCCGCACAACCCAAAGGACTTAACAAGTATGCAGTTCGGAAGGAAAAAAGCAGATTCCAAAGCAAAGCCACGTATTTAAACGATAACTGTACGCGTGAGATTAATAGAGAAAAGAGATATTGTTCAGGAGACATGAAGTATCGTTAGAATGTTCAAATCAATAAGAAAAAAAAGTTCTGTGCTTGAAGTATCTCTGCTGGCAAGGTGCTCACTACTTAGAAAGTCTGCTCAATGGCAAAGAGCTCTAATTTACTGGTTCTCAAAGTTGGCAGCACCTTGGAATCATCAGGCCCACATCCTGCCCACAGAGATCCTGATTCTAATTGGTCTGGGCCAAGTCTGGCCATCGCTATCGTAAAAACCACCCTGGGCGACCGTACAACGCAGCAGGGCTCTGAGGAAGATCTTCCTTATAGGGAACCAGCACTGGTTTCCCTGCCCCCTCAATATCCTCCACTTGGCATCCTCATTTTGTGCTCCAGAGCACGGCTCTGTGAGGGAAAGCCTTCCCAGCCATGGGTGGGCTTCACGAGGTCTAGGACACCTCTGAAAATGCTCAAGCACTCTTCCAGGAAGGGGCCCGCATCAGTGTCACAAAGCCGTCTGTGGCTACAAAAGGCTGAAGAGTCATCGATCCGAAGGCTGCCCGATGCCTCAGCTTTCCAACAGCCCTGTGAAAAGGCTGCACGTGCTCTTCTCTCTCTCAGGTTAACCATCTCCAGCTCCTCCGACTATTTGTTGGAGGTCATGAGGAACTGTGAAATCTGAGAGGAGGACAAGATTATCTCTACGTATGTCTATATCGAGACAAAGGAACAGCGGGGGCCAAAGAGGCGGTCTCGGGGAAGGCCCTGTTCTGGAGTCAGTGGAAGTCGGACCCAGTGAGGGTACCAGAAGTGCCAGTCACATCATATTCCAAAGTGCCAAAAGAAACCCAGGTGACGGTAATATTAAATAATAAAAATAAGCGGTTACATAGCTCTTTTTACGCGCCAGGCGTTGTTGTAAGCACTTTACATGTTTGTTATAAATACTGCATTTTGTGAGTACGTGACTCCTTTCATGGAGGATCATGGGAACGATATTGGCTCCTTGTGACCAAAAGCAAAGAATCATCTCTGAAGTCAGTAACCACAGTATCCTTAGTCAAATGGTCAGATTACTGCATACCAGATTGCGATGCTCCTCTGAGACACGGATGTTCAAGCTGGGTCAGGATGCCCCACTACTAAAACAGAATGTTGGTGGTCTTTTCTAATTAGAAAAAAAAAAAAGTCAGTTAGTGGAGAGAACAGTCTTAGTGTTAAATTTTTCTCCAATAATCGTGCCTTCAAGTTGTATTGCCCATTCTTGTCTTCCAGCTCATGTAAGAGATAACAAATAGAAATGTCCAAGAAGCGGGGTGCCTGGGTGGCTCAGTTGGTTTAGCATCCAACTTCGGCTCACGTCACGATCTCATGGTTTGTGAGTTCGAGCCCTGCATTGGGCTCTGTGATGACAGCTCAGAGCCTGGAGCCTGCTTCGGATTCTGCGTCTCCCTCTCCCTCTGCCCCTCCTCTTCTAACACTTTGTCTCTCTTCCCTCTCTCTCTCAAAATTAAATACACATCAAAAAAATTTTTTAAAAAAGAAAAGAAACGTACAAGAAGCAATTAAAGAGCTAAAAGAGTGGATATGTGATTTCTTACAAATTGTATGCACTCTTACTTTGATGTTGAAATGTAAAGATTTGCATGGATGTAATAGTCATATTTTCTGAGAGTAAAATTATGGCTAGTTTACAGATGTGAAGTAAATCAATAGGTCATGCTATTCCACTTTCCTCACTTCCATGGAGCTTTACATTCCTGTAACTGAGAGCTCATTACTTTAAAAGCATCTTTTTTCATTCCACTGGTAGCTCTAAAGATTAGAATGTTCTCAAAACAAGACATCTGCAAGCCTGAAAATTATGCCTCTGAGTTCCTGGTGTTGCTCCCAAAAGCAACATCTGATAATCCTGAAAATAACTGAAGACAGCTATTATTTCTTCAGATGGGAATCTCAAATTCCCTCATCTTAAGAACGCCCAATTGCCTGTCAATGTCTTTAAAATATAGTACCTGGAAATGAGGAAATATAGTACCTTTCAAATGAGTATTTGAAAAATATTTCAAATGTGGTCTGGCGAGAAATGTCTAGTTTGAAATCTGACTCTCTTTGCTCTAAAATCTACACCTACTAATTGAACAAAGATTGCTGCATTTTTTTTTTTTAAGCTATATCACAACCTTGATTAACACTGAGCTTGGGGTCAACTATAACGTCTACATTTTTTTCCCCACATGAATTGTTAATAATCCCTGTCTTCTTCACTCCACATACATGCCGTTAATTTTCTTTTTGAATTGTTTTCTTTTTCTTCTTTTCTTTTTTTTTTTTTTTTTTTTTTGCTATAGACCTCTAAATGGATCTGATTCTTCTAAAATTTTCTCCATGTTGGACCACCAATCCAACCTGCTTAGGTTGGACCACCAATCCAACACCCCACAGTTTGGCCATTCCTTTCCACTTTAACACTCTACTAATTTGAGGGGCATACGTCCTCTTAAGTCACTGATAAAATGTTGGTGAGGAGAAGGTAAAGGACAATGCCATGTGGATATGCCTTGTACTTGGACGTTTATTAAGTACCAACCAGGTGTAAATTCACCTCGCTATACAATTATCTGGCCTACATGTATAAATCTCATCTACAGCATTCTTGATCTATCAATTTAGGCAATCTTTTTTCTTTTAGGTTATTTATTTATTTTTGAGAGAGAGGGAGAGCGTGTGCATGAGCGTGACGAGGGGTGGCAGAATGAGAAGCAGAGGGCGTGGGAGAGAGAGAATCCCAAACAGGCTCCATGCTGAGCCTGGAGCCCAATGCAGGGTTCAATCTCATGTCTGTGAGATCATGACCTGAGCCAAAATCAAGACTTGGACACTTCACCAACTGAGCCACCCAGGTGCACCCATTTCTTTAAAAAAGGAATTTTACCAGGCATTATAGGAATTTACATTTACATTGATGTCTATTTATTTTTAAAATATTTAGGGGTGCTTGGGTGGCTCGGTTGGTTAAGTGCCCGACTTCGGCTCAGGTCATGATCTGACAGTCCATGAGTGTGAGTCCCAAGTCAGGCTCTGTGCCGACAGCTCAGAGCCTGGAACCTGCTTTGGATTCTGTGTCTCCCTCTCTCTCTTCCTCTCCCCTGCTCGCCCTCTCTCTCAAAAATAAACATTAATTTTTAAAAAATTTATTGTCTATGTTAGGGATGATTGTCAGTTCCAAACAGTTCCAATACAACTGGAAGGTTGTGTTGAGAAGGATGTTAAGACTTGGACACTGGAGGGGCCGCCTGGGTGGCACAGTCGGTTAAGCGTCCGACTTCAGCCAGGTCACAATCTCGCGGTCCGTGAGTTCGAGCCCCGCGTCAGGCTCTGGGCTGATGGCTCAGAGCCTGGAGCCTGTTTCCGATTCTGTGTCTCCCTCTCTCTCTGCCCCTCCCCCGTTCATGCTCTGTCTCTCTCTGTCCCCCAAAAAATAAATAAACGTTGGAAAAAAAAAAAAGGCTTGGACACTGGAGGAAAGAGGTCTGTGGTTGATTAACGATGTCAGCCAGGGAATAAAGAGAGGTAGCATGTGCGCCACCTATTTGCCATGGCTTATATAAAAAGATTCCAAATCCTTACTCTAGATTCCTACACCTGGCTGACACATTCCCAGGCAATTAACGGTGAGGGAAATGTTGATGGGCCAGGAGAGGAGGTGAAAAGCCCCAGCGAGGGGTTTAAGTCAAAAGCAAGCTATAATCCCTCAAAACTCCTTGCCACCACCTTGGCTCTACACCATGCCCTACGCCCCACCTCCATCTTCCTGGAAGTTTCAGGTTTAAAGGAATTTTCAATCTATGTCAGAATTTCAGCCAGGAGAGAAAGATGGTTTCCTGGCAGCCTCAGCTGGAATTCTGAATGGATGTTCTGTGGATCCTTAACAATGTATCGAAAGAAGAAATCAATGAATATAAACACTGTGAGGCATGGTAGAAGTGAAGTTTCTTAATACAGAGCTAAGCTTCAGGCATATGAAGTGGTTCAATACGTCTTGAAGATTGGCTTGGGCATGCTGATCACTGGTAATAAAGTTTCTAAAGGAAAATGATTTGAAGACTTCAATCTAATTTACAGTTTTAGAACACAACTTGGCGGGGAGTTGAATCTTTGCCTCAGAGCGAAGCACATGCACCGCTCGCACAATTTGTTCACGTTTTCAAGAGTATACATCTTATCTCTCCATGTTAATTATCTGTGCCTTATACTTATTATGTGTCCACAGAGCACAGCAGCTTTGATGATGCATAGAATGATTCCTAGGGGAATCGTCCCTCCAGATCAGACCTTTTTTACTGCAGTCCCAGTCTCCCAGCTTTCCGCTCTTTCCACCCATTCACTCATTCAGTGCCTATTAGATGCCTAATTCCGGGGATAAAAGAGTAAAGCAACGCCTGTCTTCTGGGTATCACCCAGTTTACAAGTCTACACGAAAGCACAAGTCATCAAATACACGCAATCCACCTGTTGCTCCTAAAGCCTAGGCGTTTCACAGCGGACTCTTCTCTTTACTAGAATAGCCCCTCCCCTTCCCCCAGTCTCCTTCCCTTCTTCCAAGATCCTTCTTTGTTCCTTAGGTAGCTCCTTCTCTTCCTCCAGCATCCAGCAGCTCCTACCGTGTCACAAAAGATGCCTACTCTTCTTTCAAGAGTTGTCCTCTCCAGCAAAACGTCCCCCCTTGCCCACAAGCCCCTCCCCTTCCTCCCATTGCCCCTCCCCCACGGGGCTCCGCCCTCTCTGCGGTTCCTCCCACCGCCCCACCCACATACTCACCGCCCCCCTAGGCCCCTCCCACTCTTATTCCAGCCCCTCCCCCGGCCCACACTACCTCCCCCTTTTGCCTCCCGGCCTCGGCGCGCAGCTTCCTTTCGAACTGGGCAGGGCCTCTCGCTCCGCCGCCCGTGCAGTGGTCCGGGGCCTTGGTCGGGAGGCGGGGAAGCGGCCGCGGCCGCTCACACCCTTCTGTGGGGCCCACAGGATGGAAGGCTCCGGGACAACCAAGTACCCCCACAGCGGGCTAGGGCGACAGTTGCCCCGGGTTACGGACGCGCTGGGGGCGGAGCGGGGCGGTGGGCGGGGCCCGCGGGGTCTGTGGCGGAAGTGACGCCAAGCCCGCTGGCGTAACAAAGCTGAGCGCGGGAGGCGCTGCTGGCTGATGGCCCTGGGCACGTGCTCCCGGCAGGCTCTGCGCGGCTGCGCACCTTCCACGGGAGAGAGGATCCCTGGCCCGAGGTGGGCGCCCGAGGCGGCGGTAGAGGTAAGGTGTGAGCCCGAGCGCGAGTCAGGGAAGTAGACGCAGCGGCTTCATGCCCGCCGGACGCTGGAGTTAGTAACAAGGACCGGCCTCCACTCACAGGCGCGCACTGCTGGCCTGGGCGGGATGGTGCTGGGGGGAGGCGGGGGCTGTCCTGCGCGTTGTCGGATGCTCAGCAGCATCCGTGGCCTCCACTCTTTAGGTTCCCGGCTTTGCTAGCCCCTTCTCCAGGAGAACGACTGCGGGAGGGTGATGCGGGCCAAGTTTCTAGTGGAATCTCCTCGTCCTTAACTTTCTGGCCCCCAGTTGCTCAACGGGTAGGTGCTAGTTTGAATCCACCGGCGGCACGAGGGTAGCACCCGTTGAACTTGTTGCGGTACAGCGCTGTGAGGCGGGCATGGGCATCTTGTAAACGAACGAAGGGAAATGGCCGTGATCACATCCCGAAGTCAGATGAGGAACTGGAACAGTGGAAGGCTAGCCACCCCCTCCTCCTCTCCCTTTGGTCCTGTTACTTTTGGGCACCTCAAGGCGCAACCAAGGCTGGGAACCTGTAACTGGACTCAGCTCAAGTCTGATTCCAAAGCCTGTCTGCTTTCTAGTTTTTTCAAGTGTGAATGTTTGTCTTGTATAAATGCATTAGAATGTCTTTCACAGCACTGTGATTAAGAGGCATTTGGAGAGATGGCTTTGTATTACTGCTTTTGCACCGAACATACCGTATTAGAAAGTCTAGGGAGCCTATGGAAAGACTTGTGTAACGTTGCTCTAGGATGTTACAACAAATACTTTTCTAGATAGGACTTTTTTGGTTATCATTTCTTTACCTACAATATGCATATTTGGATCTTGTTGTATATCACAACCTGGAAGTAAATGGTATGCCTAAAACAATTGTACAAAACTGCGTAACTTCAGAGGCACCTGGGTGGCTCAGGTAATGGTATCACAGTTGGTGAGTTTGAGCCCCGCATCAGGCTCTGCACTTGACGGTGTGGGGTGTGGCGTTTGCTTGGGTCCTGTCACTTTCTCTCTCCCCCTCCCCCGGTCATGCTCGCTGTCAAAAATAAACATTAAAAAGTTACACCACTTTTTGAAAAGTATTGAAAGAAATGTAAATTTAATGAGTTTGATACCCACCAATACTTAAAAATATAAACGAATTAAAAGATGTAAATTCTTCCTTTTTCTATTTATTCATATTTGTATTTTTATTCTTACTACGTAGAACTTTATTCTGACATTTATGGTCAAAGATTTATTGAGCAGTCTTGTCATTTTCCTGTTCAATAAAAGAATAATTTGAAAATCAAACTTAAATTTTTTCATAAGACCATAAGGCTGAAACAGTTCCTTGTTTTTCCGGATTGAGAATTATCTCCATTCCTACTCATCTGACAGACAGTAGGTATGTATTACGTGTTGATAAATACTAAATTTATCAGTATCAGAAGTGTATCAGAATGAAATGGGTGGGGCCGTTCCTCCCCTAGTCCCAATTCATGTATCTGTGCATAAATATCACATACTGCTAGAATGAGATTCAACCCCAATTTTATTTAATTTTTTAATGTTTATTTTTGAGAGAGAGAGGCAGAACTGCACGGGAGGAGAGGCAGAGAGAGACGGAGACACAGAATCCAAAGGAAGCTCCAGGCTCTGAGCTGTCAGCACTGAGTCCGACCTGGGGCTAGAACCCATAAACCATGAGACCATGACCTGAGCTGAAGTTGGACGCTCAACCGACTGAGCCACCCAAGTGGCCACCCCCCCCTTTTTAAATATATGTAACCTGAGATACCTTGTTCATTTGAAGATGCATATGAAAGAGGTTTTGTTATAGCAGTTTCCCCCAAAGTTTTTTTTAACTCCTTTACACACAGAAATCACATAATTATTCACCAACAAAAAAAATGTAATGATCAGCTGACAGTTTGGTTAGGTCTTCACTTCTTATGAACAAAATCTGAAATCACCTGACTAGCAGAAGGATTTGTTACCCCATCATTAAAGCTACTTTCTGTTTCTGGGAAGTATACCAAACATTTAAACTAAGTATTTTACTAAATGACTTTTTTTTTTTTTTTAATTTTTAAAGTTTTATTTATCCTTGAGAGAGAGAGAGAGAGAGAGAGAGAGAGAAAAGAGCATGAGCGAGGGAGGGGCAGAGCTAGAGAGGGACACAGCACCTGAAGCAGGCTCCAGGCTCTGAGCTGTCAGCACAGAACCTGACGCAGGGCTCAAACTCATGAACCATGAGATCACGACCTGAGTCGGAGTCAGATGCCCAATGACTGAGCCGCCCAGGTGCCCCACTCTTAATTAAACTTGACTGTAAGCACATTCTCATAAACACGTGGAAGTTGGAAGATCTGGTAACTGATTTCCTTTGGAACAGTGCCTGCATCCCCATTTGAAATAGGCTAGCAGTCATCACTGTTGAAGTTTAGCAGGTAAAAACCTGATAGGGTGACTCAGTAGAGACATTAAGGAAAAAGTGTGTTTAGCTAGTCATGCTTACAAAAAGCCAATATAGACTGAATCAAGATATCACAAACTCTAGTAGAGTAAGATCCCAGGGTGAGCAAAGGAAGGTTTCAAAAACAGAAAGATGGAGGCAGGACATCATTGAAAACTGTATTTTCTATTTAATTTTGCTGCGAACCTAAATCTGCTCTGAGAAAGAGTCCATTTAAAAGGGAAAAAAACAGAGAAAGGGAAAACACTGATGGGGGTAGGTGGTGAGTAGTAAAGCCATTTGCAGGGAAGAAAATTTAATCTGGGTGTAAAGTGAGGGCCCTCTGAGGAAGGCAGATGTGCGACTGTGTCTGAAACAATACAGTGATTGCTAAGCAATAATGAAGACAGTTACAATTAGCGTAATTTTTAAAACTGAAGGTGAACAGTGCTGGTATTTTAGCCCCAGAAAAATTGGAAAAATTCAGGAATTCTGATTTGCTGAGAGCTTATCTGAAATACCTGCCTAATTTTCATACTGGCACACCTATACAGAGAGCCCTCTAGCAGTTTCTTTCTTAAAACTTAACACTTCAACTTCTTTAAACTCTGAGAGGCGATAATATAATTTTTGAGGTGATAAAAACAAAATCTTTAATACTTCTTGGGTAACCTGTTCCATTTCTTGAGTTTTAATTATCAGCAAGCATTATTCAAAACTTTTTATTAAACTGCCCTATTAAGACCAAAACCATTCAAAAGGAATAGGAGATCAGAAAAGTTAAATTCTGTTGATTTACTCTATGGAGGGCCATTCGATGCCTGTTATATCTGGCAGCATTGTAATAGAAACAAGGGTCAAAATGGTTCTGTATTCTAAATAGCAAGAGTAAGTTGCCATAATGTTCTGCTCTTGGAGAAAACTCAGAGTGAGCCTAATAAGGCAAGTGTGTGTCTTTGGGAAAGGACAGGAGAGAGAATAAACTGCCCATCTCTTTGAGATTACAATCACGGATGTACTTTCACTCTAGGACTGCCATTTTTCCTTGCTTCCCCCCTCCTTTAGCACATTGATCTTCCCTCCCCACCACCCCGATTCCAATTTAAGTATCTTTATAGTAACATGAACTAAAGAACTGAAGAATGAACCAGAAAAGGTGAAAATCTTAAATGACTTCCCAGCTCTTTATGTGTCTTATCCTCTCCACCACCTTTTTTTGTGAAATGGTGGTAGTTACGGGTCTGTCCTTCTTAGCTCTGGCTATTATTTTGATCGTCACAGGTAATGTATGAGAATATCTTCAAAACGAAAGAGTAAATCTGTGTAATTATTACTCATTCCTTATTTCCTAAGCAGAGTCAAATTAATTTTCAATAATTAAAAACTAACAATTATACATACAGGGAGACAGTCATCCAAGATACTTTGGGTACTTTCTTGATAAAGGTGCAGAGATACAGCTCAGCAGTGCCATGGCCATTAAAGGATGGTTTCTTTCTACTGAGGAGCAGGGAAGATTTACCTATTTCCTTTAGGTTTTCACCTTTGCTGTTTATTCACCATCAGAAGGTGGTAGTATTTGAATACCTCCCTCTTCCTGCACCAACTGGGAAAAATGATAGAGGTGTTTGCTCTCGCTGTGTGTACTTATATTAGCAACCTAAAATTATCACTGGGCACTTTAAATTTGCTTAAGCTGCAAAGAATATTCAGTAAGTCGGTGTCAGAGCTCATAAAGTTTCACTATGTCTACTGCTGTTCCCGTTACTTAAAATGGAAACCTGAATGTGGTTTACGTACTTAAGGATGCTATGTGCTATGTTGATCAAACTTTTACCTTTCCTTGTTTTCCTTTTCTGTCTTCTAACTTAGCAGGATAAAAACAAAATAAGTCAGTGCTTTCCTTTTGATTATGTTAAAGATAAGCGAAAAATGGTACTTAATACTATCAGGCAATTAGGTCTTT